AAGGAACCAGAGTGATGGACGGCTGCCTATGGCGTTGCCATGTGGCCTCGGTCACGTGGGTTCGTGACGTAAGGGGTAAAAGAATCTTGAGGTCATGGGGCTTCCCCTGACCTAGATTCTATCTCTCAGTCACCGGCAGAATCGCTGATTAATGCCTACAGTTCAAAATAGTCATTTTGACTGACCCGGAGTCTATGGTGGGTATGAACTATGTGAATAGGCGGGTTCGAAGAACCCTCGCCTAATTTTCAGCTCTTCCACGGGTATCTCAAGTACTAATCATCGCATTTTAATGAAACTTGGTACATAGATCCTTTAGGACTATGCAGAGACCTGATTAGTTTTAGGGCAAATATTTGTGCATATTAATCACCTAATTTGCAAATTTAACCAATTTTAAGCTTTCACACTGATATCTAAAGTACTAATTATTCCATTTCAATGAAACTTAGTACAAAGATGCTCTAGGACAATGTACAAACCTAATTAGTTTGGGGTAAAAATCTGTTCATATTAATTCCCTAATAAGCATAATAATTCATAATTTTTTGGTTCTAATCACATTTCAATTAAATTTGGAAACATAGATTTTCTGTTACATTGCACAGACCTCATTAGTTTTACACTCAAATCTGTTCATATTAATTTTCTGATTTGCATAATTAGTTTTCAGCTAAGTAATTTCGAATTATATTTAATGTGTCTCCAATACTCTCAGCACATGGGAGTTCTTTCTAAGCTTTCTTTGATTGACATATGTAAAGAACAAAAACAGTTCTTTTTGTACCCTAACCCCAACTTTAACTCTTTCTCCCATTTCTCTGATTCAATTGTACATGTTCCCCCTCCAGACAATAATTCATTGCTAAATATTTGTTTCAGGCGCTGAACTCAGTAAATTACAAACAGTTTCAAAATGGTCACCGGAACGGGGTAGTGGTGATGATGGGCTTGAGCACATATTGGAACTCAAACAGGTAATTACCTTTTTCAGCATCATAAAATATCTCTAATATAAATAAATTGATTATGTTACCAAATTTATTCAAAATACTAATAGTATAATTTACATAACAATTACTTCAAGACAAGTTAATTCACATAAGATGAAGATGCCTCTGACGTGATAATGTCATAGTTTCTTGATTTGATATTGTAAGATTTTACGTCAACAACTAATTGTTGAAGGTATAATTCAAAATCTTTAAGTTGTCTTAATAATTTATTCACCATACCGGAGCACATTCAATTCTCTGTCTGTCATTGTCTTCTAGGCGGTTCTTGGAGCTAAAGCCACTGCAGGTGGGAGAAATATAGTTGAAGTAACGACAAACACATTTGAAGGAAACTCTGTCAAACAACCTATTTTATCTCTTGAACTTGGGAAAAATGATGCGGTAAGTATGTCTTGTTACCCTGGCAATTAAAATTGTGTGGTTTTCATACATGAACAATATGATGACTGAACTGAATTGTATACAATAAATGTGCCAAACATACATGAAAATGGTGATTTTTGAGCATAATTTGGTTTCTATGGCAAATAATTTTTTTTTTAAATTTTGTTTGATAACACAATAGTGATGATTTTAATTTAATAAGTGTTTAATTAATTTTAAATTTGTCATCACGTGAATGAGTTTCAATGTAATATTGCTGACAATCACAAGGATCTTTTAGTTTTAAAATTCTTTCTTTTTTTTTTCCATCACAAAGTGCTCTATGAACCTTACATTCCGAGCTCCAGCTACTTTTAAACTTATTAAAGGATCAGGTCCAGTTTACTTGGCTGGCACACATGTACTAGGTAAGTCTTCCCACTACTTTTATGCCCAATGAAATATGTGGCATGAGTGTATGCTGCCCTCTGGTGGACTATTATATTTAGTTCTTTTGTTTTTTCTTATCATAAAGGTACAGTACAGTTCTCGCGAAAGCTTTGGCTTCACTTCAGCTTTACCTTCGCTTCAGCATCACATCATTATGGAATTGTTATGGCTTCAGCATCGCATCAATGTCGCGACATTAAAAAGTTAGGCGGTTATCGCGTCGCTTCATTGTGGCCTCATTATGCCGACAATGTGGCATCAGCATCGCTTCATCAAACAAAGAAGTACAGAACTCGTTTCGCCCAACCTCTCGCTCGCTTTTGCGACCGCTTGTTAGTCCCCGTTCTGACGTAGTCCGAAAACGGGGACTTATGTTTTGCCCTGTGTGCGTCCATGCGTGCGTCCGTGATCACCTGTATCTCGAACATGCATGGACTGATTAAGTTCAAACTTCACTCATACATCACACATTATATGGGACATATGCACATGCATTTTTTTCATGATCCGATTAACGATAGCCGAATAGCGGCCATTTTAAGGCCGCAAATGCATCAAAATCGCACATTTTCACCATTCCGGACCTGGATCTCAGTTATGCATGGACAGATTTTGTTCAAATTTGGTACATACATTAAACATAATAGGACCTTGATGCACGTCTCTTTTTTTTTGGGATCGGATTTGAAATGGCCGACTGGCGGCCATTTTGTTTTAAAGAATTCAGTTCTGGATCCGTATCTAAGACATGTCTGGATTGATCAAGTTCAAACTTCACACACACAAGGTACATCATGTCACAAATAGATATGTGTATTTGTTTCATGATCCGCTTAACAATAGCTGAATGATGGCCATTTTAAGGCCGAAAATGCATCAAAATCACGTATTTTCACAATTCCGGAACCGGATCTCAGTCGTGCATGGATGGATTTTGTTCAGATTTAGTACAATGTGTTGTACATATGCAGGTGCATTTCGGTCATGATCTGCTTTGAATGTATATGTCACTCAAATATGAATGGAACGGGGACGTGTCATTGACAATGACTTGTTGAATTTCTGTTTATTTTCGACTGCAAAAATTCGGACTACTAACAATTTTCTGGTTTTCATAGATCACGGCTACTAGTTTAGTAACCGTGCATAGATGTTGAACAACCGTCCAAAGTTCAAATACTTTTTGTTTTAACTATCTATAATTATATGCACGCAATCTGACCCTTTGACCTAGATTTGGCTGGGATTGACTATTTTATTTTAAACAATATTCTGACGTGACGCACTGCTACAAAATGTATTTCAACAGAAGTATGACATGGTTGTCTGGGTTTCTTTTCCTGACTGTGTTGAGTTTACGATTTGTATAATTATTGTTGTTTCCCCCAAGGAGAAGACAAGCCGAAGGACCATGAAGCTAAATAGAAGTCCCACGCATGGACTGAGTGAAAGAAAATATTTCGAAGGCTAAAATAAAACCTACCGTTAAAATCCTATTATAAACCGCGGTTTATATTACAATGTATCAAATAAAAAATTGGGATCAACAGCTCAAGTTCGGGGTGCGGTTTATATTAGGGACATATTGCAATCACTCAATGGGCGTGGTCATTTTTTTCCACACCACTCGCACAAAACAAACAATACACCGTACAATCTTTTGAATATAAGCGTAACTCCAATTTAGATGTCAGGGAAGAGTGATAAGCCTCACGTCACAAAAAAACTGTTCACATGAAGAAAAAAATACTCCGTATATTTAATGTAATATGCATTTTTTTTTATTTTCTTCGTAACGGAAAGTATATTCTGACAGGAGTTTCAAATAAAAACAAACATTAATAATGTATTGCTTAGTAGAAAATGATCATGGTACGGCACTAAAAAAGTACGGTACCGTGGGTACGGTAACGCAATCCGGCCATGCTTCGGCTCACAGGTGAATAACTGTTAAAATTGTTGATTATTACTCAGTAGTGATTATAACAATGCACGAAAATTAAATTCGTTGAATTGTTATCAAATGCAAGTAAAATTCAACTTAGTTTTACTGTAAGCAAATTATTTCGGTCACATGTACACGATCGATGCGATATCCGCCATGTAGTTTGAATGCACACGAGACATTACTTGACCGGGTAGGTCAAGTCGCTAATTAACCAATCCAAATGCTGGATGGTGCCCACGTGTTCAAATTACCTTAGTTCATTTAAATATGTTAATGACAGGTCACCGACTTCATGGTGAACAAAACCCGGAAGTGATTTACCGATAATGTAGTGCGAGCTTTTGGCTTTGATTTCCATGGGAAAACGACATGACTTTTTTTTTAAATCAAGAAATTAGTTGTTTTCAAAAGATAAACTGAGCATTGAAAAAGAATTTAACAGTTTTTCGGTGAGAACAGCTCATTGTCGAAAACTTACGACACACAGACGTATTCATAAGGAGTATTGACAAAAGTTGTCACAAGACAAAAGCAGTTTCACTGCGTGTTTGACATCCTAACACTACTGAACAATAAAGAGGTGTGAATATTTTTAGGCACGTTGTCGAAACAAATGAATAGGATTAGGAACAATGTACCAGCTCGTTGAAACAAAGTCGGTCACGGTCTTGTTGAATTGGGGGTGCGGTTTGTAATAGGTACTTTTCATGTTTTCAATTTTTGTTGAGAACTCTTTAACACTGAAGCCGGAATCGGGGGTGCGGTTACTATTAGGTATGCGGTTTATAATAGGATTTTAACGGTAATATCTCTTTGTGTATTTGTCAATTTTGCATTTTGCATTTGGTAAACAGTATGTTCGTAAATATCAGAAAAAATCTCGTCTTTCTTTAATAATGTCATTTGTTTGAAATGTCTACTGACCGTGTCCCAATAGTTTGTTTGGAATATTGATCCCCGTTGGTCTCTCCAAACGGTCCCGACGTCCGTCATTCAACACAATCAGCATTTATTTATCGTAATTCATGGGGATCATGTCCCGTAATTTGCTAGCTGTAAAACCAAATAATTAAACAAGTACTATTTATTATATATTTTTTTACCTCACGAAACTACAACACAGCGTAGAGTTGTCGCGGTGAAACAGTCGCCTTGAAATCGATGGAACTTCAATTATCCATTTCTCACCTTGAAATAAAAATAAAAAAATTCGAAGAGCATCGAGGGATATATTATTAACCAGTCTTACCTATCGCTAGCTTTATTTTATTCAAATCCATAAAATTCACGAGTTTTTCGACATTTGTTGGCAACTTTCGCGCTAAAAATGGTTGAAAATGTGGGTGTGGTTCTCTCGCAAAGTCCCATTGATAATACGGACAAATATAATGGTTCTGTGACCCAGGTCGTGCTCCGATCAGGTGACTCTCAGCCAATCAATGATGTTGTAACAAAGCATATTTGACGCTAATTTAAGGGTCGTCGTACCATCCAATCTCCGGCATCGATTCATATAGTTTTTTTTTGTGCTGTGATAGGCTTCACTGAAAAACATCTGTATATTTTGACAAACTGCTGGGATTTGACCTCAGTTCAAAAAAAGAAAAAATAACTGGGCTGAGATACAGTAGAGTAGTCCGGGCATGGGATCGGACTCGGCTAAAACGAAACGAAACACAGAAAAATACCACTGAAATGAGGAATCTGAATCTGTTCGATTGCATCATGTGATTTAAGTTTATCACGATTTTCCTTGCAGTCAATATGACACAAGTCACCTTGCAGAATGCAATGTACTTCAAAAAGTTTTTGGTACCCAATACTCACAACATTAAATAATTAAACAAGATATCTTTTTAAAATGTCATTTTACTCTTGGTCATATTATTTTATTCCCCTTTATACCGCCTTGAATTTCAAATCGATTACATATCAAACTTCTGTACATGTGTTTTTCTCTCCTGCCTTTCCGCGTGAAAATAATGAGGTCATACTTATGTCACAATACTTTGAAGCTGATGCCATGTTGATGCCATGAGACTGCATAGCTGAGGCCACTATGATGCCACAAAATAAGCGAGGCGAACACAGCTTTAATTTTCAATGACTGCCACAATGATGCGATGCTGAGGCGACAATGAAGCCATGCGCAGGCGACAATGATGCCACAAAAGCCAAAGCTTTCGCGAGAACTGTACTGTATGGTCAAGTCGCATATTTATATATGTAATTTAACTGCTTGTAACTTGCCTGTAGCCGGAACATATTTACTCCAACCTCGCTATTTAAGCATTTTTCTTTCTGGACACGTTAATGTAGAAATTTCCTGAAATGAACACCAGTGTAGGGTTTGCAAAGTCATTTTTCCATGGAAACCTGTTTTGGGTGGAGGCTTCCTTACTCTTTGTCATTTGATGGAACAGATTCCTAACTACCCTAAGAGTTTTTTTCACATTTTTATCAATTCTTAAGCAAAAGTATTTGGTGATTTTAATGTAATTTCAACAACAGAATTTTGCAATAATTATTTAATGCTTGTGTGTTGTATAGAATTGGAAGATGTCTCAGCTATGGACTCCTCGTATCTAGAAGGAGAAGCAGAGGAAGAGTCATCAGACGATGATGAAATGGAAGATGCGTCACCAGATTTGAAAAAATCCAAAAAAAGACCAGCTAACACACCACAGACAGGAAAATCAAAAAAAGTGAGTAGACTATGTTGGTTTTAGTGTTCACCACCCATTGAATGTTGATTTTCGTGTTCACCACTCATTGGATGCTGGTTTTAGTGTTCACCACCTATTGAATGTTGGTTTTAGTGTTCATCGCCCATTGGTTGCTGTTTTTTGTAATGCATGTTTGTAATTGTAGGTTGCCAAACTAGATTTAAGTAAGACCTCAACAGAAGGTGACGAAGACAGTAGCGAAGAAGAAGATTCCGATGACGAATCCACTAGTGATTTGGATGAAGAAAATTCTAAAAAGGTATTTCTTTGTTTTGAAAAAAAATTAGTGATACACATAAAAAAAAGGCAAACAAATTTATAAAAGTTAAAAAATGGTTATTAAATGTATACAAAAAGTATTTTTATCATCTAATTTCAACCTGTCTCGTTCCATATCGTCCACCTGTCTCTCCATCCGTTCGTCCGTCCGTCTTTCCATTCGTCTGTCTGTCTATTTTTTGTACAAAATTTGTAGAAGATGAGGAGGCATAGTACATGCACGGGTCAGGTTTGGTTTTGTTTTTTTGTTTTGATTGTTGACAGACTGACAGCCATGCCTTCGCAGATTTTATTTAAATTGAAATTGAAAGGAAATGACAGTATTTTTTATTGTGACCACAAATTTGTATCATATTGCTTGCAACACTGCTATATTGTCAGCCAATTTGTGCCTAATTTATTTATTTTTTTGGTTAACCTGATCTCCGGCTTTGCATCATCCGATTTGCATAGCGGACTCTTTGAAATCTGCATGTTATTGCTGTAGAAAGTTAAATTGAATGTTTTGATTAGGCGGCAAGGAGATGGATCCATCAATCAGCATTCCTGTAACGATAATAACACACATCAGTTTCAAATTTAAACCAATGGATTTAGCCCTATTATTTATCAATATAGAGTACTTGTATCTAAGTTTTATATATCATCAACTATTTCTTAAACGTTATATATCGCATTGCCTGTTACAGATGCGTTTTAAAACAAAGGATGGTAGTTCTAAAAATGGATAACATTTTGACCTCTTCACAAGCTACTAAAGACACTGAATCGTTGACAGGGACTATTTCCTTTTCTTTATAGTTACTGGCAGGCCTTGCCGATGCCGATTCTGATGACAGTGATGATAGTGATTTTGATGGCGACAGTCAAGAAGAAAGTGAGGAGGAAGGAGACAGTGATGAAGGGGAGGAGGACGATGAAGAGGATGAGAGGTACCTAACTGATTAAAAAAAAAAAATTATTAATAACCCTGTTTGGGCTTAGCTTGATCTCACCCTTAATTCGAAAGTAAATTATCTACTGTATTTATCTGAAAGATTGCCCGCTACACAAGATCGCCCATGGGCAATGTTTCAGCACTTTGTGCAGTAAAAATGAGAGCCCAAATTAATGGGATAATTTTACAGGTTTAGCGAAAATTTCACACTGGTGTTGTGTACAGTGCTGCTCCGATGAAGCTTTGTAGAATGTATATGATTTTGCCAAAAAATTAACGCTGTGCCATCAAACTTAAGCCCAAGATAGATATTAAAAATACTAGGTGCTCTTTTGTTTTCCCCAAAAAATATATACCGGTAATAAAAGTTTGTTGTTAGAATAATTTAGATGCAATCAGCAATTCAAAATTATGCGACAGAAAAGCGTCGTCAATCTGGCGAACTTGTACTGAAATGGTGTCAAGTGGCTAAGATAATGGGACCTTGATGCACATCATTTTATATTTTGGATTGAGCTCAAAATGGCCTGACCAATTTATTTCAAATTTGGGTGAACTCCGAAAAAAAATAGACTTGTGGATTGACCCCTGGCGTGCATCTCATCAGCCATATCTCATACATGCTTGGGTCAATCAAGTTCAAACAGCACACATATACATCAGACTTCATATTTGACAATTATATATGCATTTAAGTCTTCAACAAATCCAAAATGGCTAACTGCCTGTCATCTTTATTAAACCAATCAAGTTTAAACTTAATATTCACACAAACATCACACATTAGGTCGTATGATCTGTATCAGTGTTTGTGCAAGCGATCAGTGTTTCAATGAACGAGCAAGTGAGGAATAACTATAAAATGTTGTCGTTTCCTGGTCGAAAAATACCACACAACCAGAAATTGATTGATAAGCACTGATTAAAAAGTGATAAGAGGCTGGTTATTGGTGGTAAACAACTTGGCTCTCATTGGTTGAAAATAAATGATTTTCATTGTTTGTGCTGTATTCCGAAAATCCCTTCATAAAATGTAGCAAATGGGAATAGCAGTAACGAATGTAAATACATTTTTTTTTAATCTTTGATATACAAATGATATAAAAGTTCTCAGATATTTGGCATCAGTTGAACTTGTAAATTTCTGATCTAGTGTGATTTTCACTAAAAGAACTTTATTACTAGGTAAATCTTTTATTGCAATGTCATGTGATCTGCTTTGTGATAATGGTATCAGTGCTTCCATAGTGAATCTCATCTTGAATGTATTCAGCCAGTTCGGTTTTCCTCTTCTAGGTGTCTGCTTTGTTGAAATGTTGTGAGCTACCTATCGGTTACTCTTTCATTTCAACTTCAGCTTTGCCACATGTGGCCATCTATTCTGCGGCATTATGTGGATACAATGTATTCTCTTATGTCCCAAACAAACATAACCCCCAGACAAATCTTCAAAATCTAATAAACATACCCCCGCAAATGTCCAAAATGACTGGTGAATTGTTTCCTTGCTTCTACAAAGTGCTCTTTCTGGCATATATGAAAACTGTCCCTTGTAATTAGAAACAAATGATGCATTTCTATCAGTATACTTCTAATGTCCCTGTTTGCCAGGCTGCAAGATCTAATAAAATAGCAAACCAATCACTAGCCGAGTCGGCCTGGCTGAGAAACTTTCAGTACAATGGTGACGTATTCCGTGAAATTTACTTTTTGAATCCTGTGTCTTTGCAGTTAGTGTGTCTGTCTCTGTGTGTGTGTGTGTGTTGTGTGTGTGTCTGTGTGTGTGTCTGTTCCACTGATATCTCAAAAACCATACATTGATTTTTGATGAAACTTGGTGCATAGATGCTCTGGGCCAATGCGCAGATTTCTTTAGGTTTTGGTAAAAATCCATGCATATTAATTACCTAATTTGCATGATAATTAGCTGATTTTTAGCTGTTCCATGACTGTTCCACTGATATCTAAAGAACCACTCATTGGATTTTGATGAAACTTGGCACATAGATGCTTCAAACTAATTGATTGGAAAACGACATGATTTTCTTTCTTTTTTAAATCAAGAAATTTTTTGTTATCGACCCAATTTCGTAAAATAAACATACCATCCAAAATAAGAACATGCCAAGTGGAATTTCTTTGGGGAAAAAAAATAAACGTACCGTTACTTTTATTTGGTACATGAGAGTACCCTGGTCCCAGTGCTAATTCATACAGTGCTAAAGAAAGTAGCAGTGATACCAAATGTTCTAGTGACAGTGATTCTGAATTGGCCAGTGAGATGGTGGTTTTCACTCATGGCTTCTCCAGCTGAGTATCTAATAACATCGCATATACGCATGAGGCAGTTGCAAGATTGATGTAGTGTGGAACAGGTGGATCAACTGAAACATCTGTTTCCCAAGTAACTGATTTCCTTTTAGCATTTTGTATCACACAAAAAAACTCTCCTGTTCAATTTTTATACTGAACAGCAACCACTAAAAATTCCCCAGTCTAATATATTCTAGTCCTAGATGCATAATGTAAGCCTCATTTTGAACCACTGAAATCAGACACTGAACATTTTTTTTTTCTGATATCCATTGCCTCTGGTTGACTAAAATTCAGTGCCTCATTGCCTCCATAACTTCAGGCCACCATTGATGGCGCAATCGCCCATAGTCTGTTATTTTTAAAAATTTGAAAAAAAAATATTATTATGACTTAAACTAATACTACCTTTAATTTACAGTGATGAGTCAGACGAGGAGGTTGTCATACCAACAGCAAAAAAGGTAATACTGATTTCTAGTATAGACTTGTACGAGATGTGATCAATTTTGTTTCAAAACTGTATCTCCTTGTACATTGTAGCCATGCATGTCAGTTATAAAATTTCAGTAAAATACACTGTCCATTTCCACTAGCTTCCTTAGCTTTCACGCTACTCTGGCATGGCTGCATGTATTTAATTGTTATTTGTAAATTTTTATTATTTTGTTGGTTATAATAACCGAGACTAGATGTTAATAGCATTTGGTTGTTAAATTAAAAAAAAAATTAACATTAATCCACTAGAGAAAGTATTGCTTGTATTGGAAAATAATTTTGTCAGACTTTGTGAAATCTGTAGAGTGCAGTTCGTGGGTTTTGAAATACAGAACAAAATTCAATCCTTCATGGTTAAAAACCATACAGGAGTAATAATGTCCTCAACGACAAAAGGTGCCACAGCTGATTCACATAATGAGAAGCCAACAAACGTGTGTCATTGCTCTTGTAAAAATGTGACCCAAAAAGGACATTCAATCAACATGACCTTGCAACTGGAGATACAATTTGCTGAAAACAGGAAGTGGTTTCTGTAACTATTGTGCAAAATAAAATTCAAACATAATGGCAAAATACTATATGCACTGGGGTCAATACAAGACCCTTTATTTTGAGTGGTCATTGTTAAATTAACACTTTGTTGATTTCAATTATTGTTCTATAGGGAAAGGGCAAACCTCAGGTGAATGGTAAACCTGGTTCCGCAAAGAAAACAGAAACAGCAAAACCAGAGGCTAAAACTCCCACCAGCAAAGGAGGCAAGAAGGAAAAGGATACACCAAAGGTACCAACATTTGTATTTAAATCCAAGATGTGTCTATAGCTTTACGATTGTTTAATTGTTGACAATCCCGCCAACCTCTGTAGTTCTTTTGGGGAGGCTAATCTCACGGGATGTCATTTTTCGATCTGTAATTGTTTGAATAAACAAGCGATAGTTGTCTTGTTGTATATCTATCACTGTATGCCACTGTGATGCGATAAACATAGATGTTGTTTTGTTTGAATCATTTACTGGCTTCCAGAAAAGAATTCCTTAATTACATTCACGCAACAAAGCCTGATATAACAGTTATACAAACTTGGGCTGGGACTGTTGAAGACCTTCTAATGATCTATTGTTGTTGTGTGAATAGGAATCCTATTGTTATCCCTGTTCATCATGACAGGTGTCAGATCTGACATTGTTTGTGTTGTACTGGTTAATCTCTTTATCGCTAATTGTTTTAATGTTGGTAATTAGAATGGACACCAATTAAGACAGTTTACGCTCTCTAATTGGGCGTAGCGTGAAAACTATTATGAATCGAGTAATTACGCCCGCCTAATTAGTTGTTGCGAATTGAAAACATTATCCTTGACAATGAAATTGCATTGTTAAACTGGGAGGGGACTTCAGACATGCTCCTGCCTGCCTCTATAGAAGCTATTTGTCATGTAGGGAGGAGGATTCATCAGGATTTCCGTTGTATATGTTTATTTTTCTAATTAAGGCTCCTTGTTATTTGCTTTATTGTTTTGGATAAAACTTGTTTATGGTCATCGTACTTTAGACTTGTTGTCTATACATTTGTGTCTATGTGTTGTACATCTTGCGGAAAATAGGGTGTTATCTCATTACCGCAAATCTTTCTTGCATCACAACATGGTTTGCGACATGTTTGATTTAATGTTATTCACTGTGTTGTTGCTTGGTGCTAATTTGGGACAATCCATGACCCCATGCCCGTTGTGAACCAACTTCAAAAAAGCTGGTAATTTGCTTGTGCTATCTTGACAAAATAGTCAATGCTGGCTTGGAAAGTTATTCACACAGGCTGTTGAAAAGAAGGAGTTTGTCGTTAAAGAAAAACAAAGCATAACAATTGTCTCAAAAGTTGTAGTTTGGGTTTTCAAATTTAGTGTGCACTAACTACATATTACTTAATCAATATTTCATTTGTATTAATTTACTGCCAATTTAAATTACAGATCAACAAATCACATGTAGTTTATTAATGTTGGACTTGTTTCATTACACAAGTATGGATGGGAAAATAAACAGAATTGTATTATTTGAGAACGCAGGTACAAAAATATAAGAAATTCACATCTGACGCCACCTAAGTTTGTAAGGAGAAATCTTTCTTCTTTATAGATATTTCCTCGTCATTATGTGTTTAGCAGATTCCATTTAGCGAGTTGTTGTAATGCTGAACAATATCATGACAGAGTTTCACACGACAAAGAGTTTAGCACTTTATCGCTGTCATATAGACATTGTAGCATACTTTGAATTCTTCTCTCAGCTCTTCAAAATTCCACTCGCTAACAAAGGTGTTCAACACAAACAACTGTTAAAACACTTTTGTATTATTTCCTGCACACTGTGTTGGAAATCCTTTTGAGTGATAATGGTTGTGAACAATTCCGGTGATTTGTCATGGAATCGTCAGTTCAATCACCATAGTAACATCTTACTATTTACACTACCATCTCCCAATTTTTCTCGCCAAAATTTGTGATGGAATTTTCAGTATTGAATTGACTGAATGAACAAAATCATGTGTGGAAGGGTGGTGATTACATAGATCAGACTGTCTAACATTAAGCGACTGCATACATATTTGTAGTGGGAACAACGGCTCTGTAGGCCTCCATTGACAATTGAATTATGCAGATTTTGGTTTGTGTGTTTGTTGATCAGTTTTCATTTTGCCCTTGGCCTTAATGGTATTGTTACATTAAGTTGAAGTACTGAAAGTATTTTTACTGGTGGCTTGGATTTTATTGTGCCGTATTGTTGAATATTTCCGTGGATTGATGAAGTTTTCTATTTTTAGACTGTTCATGTTCAACTGATTCACTTCCTTTCTCACCCTTACGACGCAGTCGAATTATGTTATAAACTACCTGCTTTTTAAAATTATTGCTGATGTTCAAAAAAATGACAAAAAACTTGGCACTAAATATCTGTCTGATTACAAATGTTTGTGCGTTTGTTTTTCTCAGGGAACACCAAAAAGTATAAAGAAATATAATACTCTGGAAGAAATTAAATCTGATATAGTAAAGGTACGTATTGTCACTCTTAAATACTTATGGTAAAGCTTTTTTTTTACACTTTCAAATTTAATTTAGCAAATTGCTCAGCAAAACTAAAACAGTTACATAATTATTCATTTGTTTTTTTGTGTATTAAAATTGTTCCTTGAGCTTCAATTTACAATAGCCCTATTGGATGCTGGAGAATTTCATATAATCTTTGCTTTATGTTGTATCATAGTCTCCTGCGATGCCCAAGAAAAACACAAAATTTGAAAACTGGGTTCGGAACAAATACAAAGTTGAAGACAAGGAGGTAGGTGGTGTATTGGTTGTCAATGATCAGTCACAAAATTTGTTTGCTTGCCAATGATTGTCATTGATTACAATTTGATTGGTTGTCATTGATTAGTCATTTACTTGAAATTGGATGGTTTTATTGATTAGCCATTAATTCAATTTGACAGGCTGTCATTGACTGAATTTTACTGGGTGCCAATGATCTGTCAATGACTACATTTGATCTATTGTTGATATTCATTGATATTTTAAAGATCACATGATTATGAACAAAGTATTTATTCTTGATTTGATCATTATGTTGGTTCATCTTAGACAGTTAAATGTATGAAGTGGTAAAATTTCCCCAATTTTAGATGGAGGACCTGTCCTTGAAACATGCATAGATTTGGTGTTAATGTCCGCAATAAAATATTCATTACCACAAAGTTTTATAATTGTCCTAGAAACCATACATAGCAATAGAAAATTTTCTGTTCATCCCGAGATGCCACATTATGTATGAAAACGAACGTGAATACAGGACAAGCGAAGATCATAGCATTGTCGAAACCAGCAACAAACGCAAATGTATTTTGAGGATATTTTACATTATTAATGTGTCTACTGTAAAAAGATTAATTATTCACTGGGTTTTAATTTTGTTTATTTCGCTGACTGGAAAATCCGCTAAATTAAAACACAGTGAATATGTAAAATTTAGCATAGAACACGTTATCTGAATGATAAAACCGTGAATTTAAAACCCACTGAATATGCCTGAAATGGTAAATCGGCGAAATTTAAACCCAGTGAAAATTAGTCATTTTACAGTATACACATTCGATGAAGTAAGGTCATCTTAACGCTATATTCCACCCTCAAAGATCAGCATTTCGACACTGAGCTGTAAAAAAGAAATTTGAACTCAAAATCTAATCGTTTGATTATTTCGGCAGATGTTTGGTCAGTGCAACACACAAGATTACTGTGACCAGAAAATAATCCATTAAGTCCATAGTCCAGTTGTAGTATGAACTGCTGTTTGCATTAGAATCTTAAAATTACAAAAATAACTTTAAAATTGTATCTCGTAAATGCAGTCATAGTCCAAGTTAATGCTATGAAAAAATCATGGAAACTTGATAGTTCTACTTGTGAAGAGATCTGCCATTTTTCATTTAATTGAATAATTTGAGTTCTTTTAAAAAAAAATTCATTTTAGCCTGATTGGTAACAAGTATATTTTAGAACTTGATGGATTATATGTAGTTGGTACTTTTAACGATTTTATTTTCTTTTCTGTTAATTTGAACTGGTAACCAGTGGCGCAATTAATAACAAAAAGATAGTCGGTTTACATAACTGTTTTGAGGTTGGATTGTGTGGGTGGTTTCCCTTCAGGGAAGGAGGGCATGGACTGAATAATTATGACTATGCGCTTGTAAACACCGTGGTAATTGTTTTGTAAAACTCTCCTAAATTTTATTGCTTTTGATAGTTGTGAATAAAAGGGAGCCGATACGATTGTTCTTTATTTGCAGTAGATTATGTAACAATACTAAAGTGTGTTTCTTAATGTCCGGTAATCAACTACGAAAACGGCACATTCAGCATACTTTTTTTTATTGTCTTGACGCTTGTAGTGGCATGCATGGATCACTGTATTGTTGCCGCAACCACCGCCAACCTCACATAATTAAAAATGCAGTTAATGATCCTGAAAAATTCAGACATGCTCTTTCAGTATTTCATTTTGTGTTTGCTTTCGGCCAGCTTGCTCTTGTGGATTACGCTTTGTCAATACCCCCGTGGCCAATTCGAAATTTGGCGTCAGTTTCAATAACTAGAATCCTTGCAATTGTTCAGTTTCAATTAACTGTCTACGGTTGCTATTATTCTTGGTATCTATTTCTTTCTAAAGTACTGAAGTGTTTATTGGTTTTTGTGATTTGTCTGGTAAAGGCTGGTTTACATGTAAAATCTTCCAGCCTGCTAAATCTTTTGTTTAACAAAATCTTAATGAGAGACTTTGACCTTGTAAGGAACAAAAAGTCTTCAAATGAGGTTCGGATATCTAATTCATCTGAATACAGTTGTGAAAACATACAATCTAATGGTCGCCAAAATAACTGCAAATTAGTGTTGTTGAATGAGAAAATATCAAAAGAGTGGTTTTTGAGTAGATCCCTTCAGTTATTGTTTTCTGTGGTGCTGACAAACAACTTTCTCGTGTAGAATAAACCAATTCAGGAAATGAAGTCTTGAGTTTTCAATTTCATTCTGTCTTACTTGTGTCACAATTCATAGTCAATTTCTAATTCCATAGTCTATTCATGTTTGGGATCCGAGATCTCTACTGAGATCAGCTAGAATCTATTCATATAGCAATATCTGAGACCTCTACCATTACACCTAGAATCTATCTATGTTTCAAGATCTGAGACCTCTACCATTACACCTAGAATCTTTGCTATGGTCGAGTTGTTTGACAGTTTTCCATATATGGAAATTGACCCAGATGACCCAACAGGGACAGGAGTTTGCATATTATTTCCTGTGTGAAGGATGCAAACAATTGGCTATAACATGATCAAAATGTACATTACTGTATTTGCCTAAATGTTAGAAATGCACATCTCCAATAGAAGCAGACATAAAACCAGAAACTTCATTTATTGTACACTTGATACCACAAGTTCACAAACACTCATGTGTATGTGTATATGGAGGGGGATTGTGCAAAATTGAGTGATATACCTGACTTTGGAGGTGGCTTTATTAGCATTGTAATTTACACATGGTAATAACTTCAAAGCATCAAAAACCATGTATGTCATACAGCACCCAAAACGTTCTACTTGCAACCATGGTAAAACAATAATGGGCCCTGGATCTAGCGTACAGCGATTATTGAAACAATGAGAAGATTTGTACCTGCATGTCAGTGCTGCAAGGTTTTGTCATTTGTGTAATTCAGTTATTTTCTCGTCCATCTCCTTTGATCCCAAAAAGAGTCGGTGTTCTTCATCACAATCATCTATATCCATGTTGTGAATTTTAATTTTTTTCTGATTTCAGTTGTCAGCGTGATTTTCTCTCAATGTGTGTTATTCATGTTTGGGGCATGACATGATATAATTAATTTGATGATAGTTTATTTTACCACAGCTTGCATAATTAAAAAACAGGCTCTCACCCAATCAGAATGACAAATTAGAACAATTGAATCTATAATGCACTACTAACAGATGAAATACAATGTAAAACCAGTTGCTGGTTTATATAATTATTTTTCTTTTTTTTATCAGAAAATCAGTGAACTGTGGACATGGCACCAGAAGACCAACTTGAAGCAGTAATAACAATTGTTTTCGTTTTGTATTCACATGATCATGTAAACAAGATTTATAGAACCTCTCAGTTGAGTGAAAACAGTGTTACAGTATCCAGCCATTTTTATTTCATTTCATATTCACTGATGCGGTTCGCTAGCAACAGATTGCTGATACCCGACCCCCAGCATTTCCTCAATTAAGTCAAGAAATCAGACTCATTGCATTGAAATTATTATTTTTATGATACTTGTTGACAAAAACATATTCTGAGTCAATACCTGTCTTCTTGGGCATGTTTGTATATCTCTGACTCCCCTAGAAAACTTACTGGGTATTCAATGTAAACTATAGTTTATTTTATTTCAGTTTTCGTAAAGTATATTCATTACTAATAACTGTAAATGCTCTGCGAACGGTGTGTGCCCTCTGCGGACGGTGTGTGCCCTCTGCGTCCTTCATTTGATTTAGCTCTAAGTTGTTTATAAATATATACTGAAGATGATATCCATCTATATATACTTTTACTAAGTTCTGTTTCTGTGTTGACGTCAAACATCAATAAAATTATAGTTTATAACCGCTTTATTGTTTATTTAACTTGTATGTTTCCAGAACGTGTTCAAATTTCGTGTGTGTATAAATTAGTTACATGGGGGCAATGCAAACAATGTGCTACCACAGACTTCCTGTAGATTGTGGAATTATGTAGCCATTGCTACAATGCCCAGTGAATTGTGTGATCACATGGTTGTTGCTCCAATGTCATGCGGAGTGCAAACTCTTGTGCACAATGTCATGTTGATTGTGTAATGATTCTGCTGTTGCCAAGATATCCTGTAGT